TCAGACCAGCAGGCATGCAAAAGGGCTTCCTGTAAAGGCATTTTGATTCCTTTGGGTCATTTTCCCCATACCTTTGATGTAGAGATTATAGACTCATATTAAAATTTGAGCTCAAAGTTCAAACCCAAGCAACTCATAGAGAAACATATACAGTAAACCATCATCTAAGGCTCCTAAACAGTTAAAAAAAAAAGGCAGGATGTTCATTCATGTGTAGATACGAATTCTACTTCTGTGAAAAAAAGAGATTTGTCAGGTATTATTCCATAATCTTTTTTATTACCAGTTGATAGAAAAACAGGGACATTTTTCTGAAGCACTAGGAACTCTATATACTAGGTTTCATAGGAATGGAGTTAGATTTCTTTTCAGTTTGTCATTCAATTCCAGACATAATAGCCTTGTACTTACTGTATATTATAATTATGCAGAGTAAGATTATGACTTGATTATAACCTCTGTCTGCAGTATAGCCAAGAAAATTTATGCCAAATGGTTTAGTGCTAAGTAAGAGTCACTGGCTGGTAGCAGGGAAAAGAGTGACTGTTTAGGTTTGGTTTTGCTTGCCTTTCAATTTATGTTGCGTGGCACTCAGGTTCAGATAAATGGTGAACTGCTAGGAAAAATGGTGCTGAGTGGTTAGAATATCAGAGAAAAAAACCGACTTGGATTGCTATGACTTCTTTTTGATTATTTTCACAATTCCTTGAAGAAAAGAATAGCCAAGCATCGTTCACTTTATGCCTTCTAAAAAATTTATGGCCTTAATATAAACCATGGGAAGACTAATGAAGACAGACAGCCTGGCTTTAGGAGCACAACAAAACTGTGCTTATAACATAGGGCTGTAAGTATTCCTATGAAGGCTTGGATTCCTATGCTATTTCCTCCCTTTATTCTCTGTTATCTCCCTTGAATATCACTAGGTTCTCAGGTTGCCCTTGACTGCAAGTTTGAAAGACTGCATAATGAAAGGTGGGAAGGATGGCCCTGAGGGCAGCTTTGGAGCTTCTTTAGACACCATAGGCACAGCCACTGAGACAGTATAGTGGTCAGCGAGGTAGGAAAGAGTTCCACAAGTAGCCTGCTAGTGAGTTGATGTTTGCCCCCTGGATACCACAAATTTATAATAATATTAAGTATTTCAGGGCTATGCACAGTGAAATGACTAAAGCTGGAAGTTGTATGGATGATTCTGACCAGTAAAGGTGAGACTAATAAAACTTTCACCTTCCAACTTGCAGCCAGATGTTTCAACCTTTAAATATCTTTAATCAAAATACCTTATGTTTTATCGAGTACACAAAGCCAGAATTGTTCTTCTCCAGCTAGCATCAGTCATGCCAAAAGGGAATTTTTACAAGGCAGGTTTGAAAAAAGGCAGTGAGATAAAAATGTTGATTAGAAATGCCTCTTAAGATATGAAAAGAAACATTTCTATTGATGTCAGGAACTCAGGCCACTAAGCCAACTTTTCAGACCTGGCCTCCTAAAACATGTGATATGTTCTCATCTATTTCAATGCACTTTTCTCAACTTCATTGTACCATTCCTTAAATTCTAATGGGATTTAATATCCTGGCTGCAGTAAGGCAGGAAATGTCTTATACACTTGGAAGATGTGACTTGTGCTCTAAGTGAGAAATAATAGAAATCAAGTGTACAGGGTAGGAAATAGAAACAAAGATGACCAAGGTGATGATGGACAGATGTGTTATTATTGAGGCATTTGCGTGTTGATTTCTTTAATTTTAAGTTAATCGTGACAGCTTGCCTTCTTCTCTTCATAGATTGGTTTATAGAACCTTCTGGCTTCACAATAAGCAAAGTTACTGCCATCTATTGTTTGAGTCAACTCACAAGATATACAATCACAATAAGTAAGGAATGCCCACAGTTCCTCCACTTCCAAAATTCTGCTTCTGCAAATGATCAGTAAATTTGCAGAGACTCAGTTCAGTACTTGCAATCATATTGAAAATAGAGAACTTGCTTTAGAGAGCCAGAATGCCAGGGTTGGGGGAAAGCTCAATGACTCTACCTGCCTTCAGTTTTGGCAGTTTGCTAAAAACAAACTGTTTAAGTTTTTCCAGCCTTCTAGAATTTGCAGACAATACTTTTCCTTCACAGAGTTTCTTTTTTTTTTTTTTTTTTTTTTTTTTTTTTTTTTTTTTAAATCAAGCAGGCTGTTCAGTTCTTCAGTCTTTTTAATATCTTTGAGGTAGAAATTTCTAACACAGAGACACAATTTACCTTTGCATTAGGGTCCCTGAGATTTGCTGACAAATACCGCAGCTATGATCCCTGTTATAAGTTACTGTTAAACAGTTATGAAAGACTACTGAGCTAAAACTTTTCCCCCAAAAAATATTTAAGCACATTCAGTTATATCCTTGCTTCCTCTCTCCTTCCCTCTCTCACACCACACTCAACCCTGAAGTCATAAATATCTTGTTAGATATGTCCTTGTGCTCTTGCTTAGTACAATCGATAGTAGTTCCAATGTGTATTATCCTAACTGGTTTTTATTAAATCGGTTTATTATAGACTGATATCTAGAGATCAGGATACTGGCATTAATAAAAGGACTCCCTTTCTCATCATCACAAGGGGAGAAAATATTAGGAGATCTCTTTTAATGGATTTCTAAGGTCAAAATCCATGTAACAATAAAAAGAAGATCAACTTCGGAGTCTGCTTAAGTGACTGGCCAGTCAGAGCTCTTTTATTTGTACTATCTAATGAGAAGTGCTGTGCCTGTGACCCACTTTGCTTGAATTATTACTGAAATCTTTTATTCAGGTTCCATGTTTATTTAGGTAAGAGGTACACTGGGCAGAGTCCTAGAATAAGGTGAATGCATAAATCAGTTTTAATATGACAGTCCCTTCTTAGGACATTCCGAGCAAACCAGGAACAGCAGCTGCCTGTGGCTGCATGTCCTCAGCTGTGCTTTCTATTATACCCAGGAGTCAAATAAAACCTAATCAGCAATCAGACTTACTATCAGAAACGAGCTAGTGGAGGGTATTGGCTCTGTTAGAAGGTACAGACTGTCTCTCTCCAGTGATGGAAAAGGAACAAGAGAACCACTATTAGTACCCTGTGTGGTCCCAAGCATCTCAGAGGAGGCTCTGCATGTTCATTCATTTTTTAAAAAGGGAGTGTCATGACAGATCAGAGTGCTATGATCTAGATGGGAGCCAGGCCATGTTAAAGGCGGATAAACTGTCACACTTAGGCTCGTTAGAATGTAATCCTGTTAAGAGTTTCTCCGCAGCATCACATCATCTGACATAATTGAAAAGAAATCACTCTTGATTGAAATACACCTGCAAGAGAGAAAACCATGAAGAGTGGGGGAGTGACTATTACTGTTTCTATAAAAGGACAATAAACAGTATAGGCAGCACTACAGTATAATTTGCACTGCCTTTATAATTTGAATTTGTAATGATAAACTACAGGATTTCTTGCTTTTTATTTCCAATTTTTTGAACCTTGAGGCTGATACCTGCTGATGCTCTAAATAAATACAGTAATCTGCAAGTGCAAGGTTGCAGGGTTATAACAGTTTGACTTCCAAAGAGACTTTCTGCACTGTCAGTCCATAGGATTCCTAAAAGCAGCATTTGGGACATATTGTAAACTGCACCGCTGTATCAGAAGAACAGGTTTCATGCACTCCTGAATTACATTTCTTCCCGAATTACCTGGATGATGCTTAAACTGTTTAAATAACTCAAAAGAAAAAGCAAAACAAAACCAAAAACCAACCAACCAAACAAACAAAAGCAAAAGAAGCCCACCATTTTTAAGCAGGATTTCTGTTCACTGAAATTCTGTTTCCTTGAAATCCTAGCAAATGAATTTTGATCTGGGTAAACAAAACCTGGAAAATAACTGTGCTCGTGTCACTGCAATCCCAGAGCCTGATATCTACACATGCTTAGTATTTGCCAAGGTTTATATCCTTCCCTTGGTTCAAGTATGTAAAATGCAGTATTTTTTACTTATTTTTTCCCAGACATTGGAAACAAGATATAATAAGACAAGATAACATCAAACAACACATACTTTCATTGCAAACTGTAGAGAATGGGTATGTTTGGTTATAGATCTGAATAATAAATAGTAACTGAATAGAACTCATCCATACTAACGCTAATGAACTTGTTTATGTAGCCATGCACAGACAACTGTATAGCAGAATTAAAAGAAGTGTGTAACCTTTATGGTTTCAAAGAAAGTGTTCTACAAAACTGCTGTAGTTTGAGCTGATCTCCTAAAACAATAACTTAGCAGATGTGGACCTTTTCATCTAGTGGAAAGCAAGTTCTGAAATCTATTGACAGTACACAGTTCAGATCAGAACCAATGTAAAGATGATAGGTTTGTGGATTACCATACTTTAGAGTTTAAAAGGCTCTACTTTTAAGTTTCTGATTCACTCTACTGAGGTACAATAATATGGCAGTGTGCATCAAATTGGAGAATATACATAATGGCATTACAGAAATAGAAGCAGAACATTCCAGAGTCTGGTAGGAAATAAACATAGAGTGTGATTAAATAATACATACCGGAGTCTACTCTGTCAGGCATCAGTGAATAGCATTCATTGAAGACAGTGGTTCTGCCAAAGAAAAAAATAATTACCTAAGTAAAAATTTCCACTTAAACTGTTTAGTTTTAGAATTTTAAACAGACTGTGAGAGGATGAAGACTGGCGTTACGGTACGCAAACACAAGTGATAGATCTAGCCTTCACTGAAGTCAATGAAAGTCCTTCAATCACTGCAATGACTTTGCATCAAATCTATTTCAAGACTATTTAACAGTAATATTAAGCTAATGTTCAATATTAATGTCTTTTTTTCCTTTTTTTTCCCCAGAAATCCATAAAGAGCTCAACCTTAGAATAGTCTTCCAATGGACTTGATCTTCCCTATTAAACATTTCATGCTATTCAGCTTTTTCTTTTCTCTTTTCTTTTACAGGCAGGCCAGATCTGGCAGATAGCTGATATGAGGACTTTTCTGAGTTCAGAAAGCTGAGTGTGACACCAACAGACTTCAGTGAAAGAAAATATCCCTGCAAGCACAGAGACTTTTGATATCTAAATTCATCAGCAAAGTCATGGCTACTGTTTCTTGCAGCACACATGGAAGAAGGCAACAAACTTTGTAACCCTGGCTAACAAGACTGTGTTTTTCTTATCAAAAGTAGGAGGTAGGCCAATTATAAAAAGATTATTTTATACTTAGCCTCCAGGACTTGAACTCTGGCCTGAACACTGGACATTAATAGAAGCCAATTTTAATGACCTGATATTTTGCTACCTGTGCTTTATTATTGTTATCAGTTCTTAAACACTTTGGTACTTTATTTCTTTAGATTAGAAATGGGTTCGTGGACTAAAATGTGGCCCACAGATTGGACTCTTCTCATGAAATCATGGCTTATCTTTTCCCTGGGGCTCTGCATGCAGGTCTCCAAAACTTTGACCTGCCCAAAAGTGTGCCGCTGTGATCGAAACTTTGTCTACTGTAATGAGCGAAGCTTGACCTCAGTGCCTCTTGGGATACCAGAGGGTGTAACCGTCCTCTACCTCCATAATAACCAAATTAATAATGCTGGATTTCCTGCAGAGTTGCACAATGTCCAGTCTGTGCACACAGTCTACCTGTATGGCAACCAATTGGATGAATTCCCCATGAACCTGCCGAAGAATGTCAGGGTTCTCCACCTGCAGGAAAACAACATTCAGACCATTTCTCGTGCTGCTCTTGCTCAGCTTTTGAAGCTGGAAGAACTGCACCTAGATGACAACTCCATCTCCACTGTTGGCGTTGAGGATGGGGCATTCCAGGAAGCCATCAGCCTCAAGCTTCTGTTCTTGTCCAAGAATCATTTAAGCAGTGTACCAGTAGGCCTTCCGCTGGACTTACAAGAACTTCGAGTAGACGAAAACCGAATTGCTGTCATTTCAGACTTGGCCTTCCAAAATCTTACAAGTCTGGAGCGTCTGATCGTAGATGGCAATCTCCTTACTAATAAAGGCATAGCTGAAGGCACCTTTAGCCACCTCTCCAAGCTCAAGGAATTCTCAATAGTTCGGAATTCACTGACCTACCCTCCTCCCGATCTTCCAGGGACACATCTGCTGAGGCTTTACTTGCAGGACAACCAGATAACCCATATACCACTTACAGCCTTTTCAAACCTCCACAAACTGGAACGTCTTGATATTTCCAACAATCAGCTTCGGATGTTGACAAAGGGAGTATTTGATAATCTCCACAGCCTGAGACAACTTACTGTAAGGAATAATCCCTGGTTATGTGACTGCAGTATTAAGTGGGTCACTGAATGGCTCAAATTTATTCCTTCTTCCATCAATGTACGGGGTTTTATGTGCCAGGGACCAGAGCAGGTCCGAGGTATGGCAGTCAGGGAGCTCAATATGAATATGTTGTCATGCCCCACCACCACCCCTGGTCTGCCACTTATCATCACCCCAGTCCCAGCTACAACCATGCCAACTACATTAATTCCCACCTCATCGTTTCCCCCCCCAAGTAGCAAATATAATCCTCTCACTCCCATCATAGCCACACTCCCCACTGTGCCTGACAGGGAGGACAGAGAAAGGGTGACACCTCCTTTATCCGAAGGGATTCAACTCTTCATCCATTTTGTTAATGACACTTGCATCCAAGTCAACTGGATGTCACTTTTTACCGTAATGGCATATAAACTCACATGGGTTAAAATGGGCCATAGTCTGGTAGGAGGAATTGTTCATGAACGAATAGTTAGTGGTGAGAAGCAGCAATCAAGCTTGGTAAATCTGGAGCCCAAATCCACTTATCGGATTTGTTTGGTTCCACTGGATACTTATAACAGTTACCGAACTGGAGAAGACACTGTCTGTTCAGAAGCCACAACCAAGGCTTCCTTTTTGAGCAATGGCAGCAACATCCCTTCCAGTCACGAGCAGACAACTTCTCAGAACCTAGGCTCCCCATTTCTGCTGGCAGGGTTGATTGGGGGTGCAGTGATATTTGTCCTTGTGGTCCTGCTCAGCATTTTTTGCTGGCATATGCACAAAAAAGGTCGTTACACCTCCCAGAAGTGGAAATATAACCGAGGCCGTCGGAAAGATGATTACTGTGAGGCAGGGACCAAGAAGGACAACTCCATCCTGGAGATGACGGAAACCAGCTTCCAGATTGTCTCCTTAAATAATGATCAGCTCCTTAAAGGAGATTTCAGACTGCAGCCCATTTATACCCCAAATGGGGGCATTAACTACACAGACTGCCACATCCCCAACAACATGCGATACTGCAACAGCAACGTCTCAGACCTGGAGCACTGTCATACGTGATGGTGAGGGAAGATGGGGGTATCTAGGACAAAGAGGAAAAAACTCTAGAAAAAATAAGACCCCCAGCAACAATGAAAAGAATTACATTTGATAAATGTTACAAAGATGCATTTATGCATTTGAATACTCTGTAATTTATACGGTGTACTATATAATGGGATTTAAAAAAAGTGCTATCTTTTCTATTTCAAGTTAATTGCAAATGGTTTTGTAACTCTTTGCTTTTTAAATCTTTAAAAAATGTTGCTGAGTACTGTACAGGGTTGTACAATAAGAACCCAATGTCATGGCAAAGGAAAGAATGACTCATTCTTCAAACATTAACCACTTTGCTGTCGAAGCTGTCTGAGGGATGTTAAGTTTCTAAGTGTCCTCAATACAGGAAAATAAGTGCGTATTAAAACGGTCACTAGGAACAGACAAAAGCAATTCAGATAAAATGGGTACAACCCTTCTGACTGCAACAGTAGTTGCTGTTGAGCTTCAAACAATTGGAAATACATGTGTTGCCCTTTGTCAGTTCTGCATTTCCTACCTCCAACTGAAAGCTGGAGTTCTGAGTGCTGCCAAAAAGACTACTTTCTTGTTTGATTAGTTTTCTCCCAATATATCTGGAATAGGAAAGGTAGACAGAGTCAAACTCAAAGTGACCTTGACTCCTATTTGCAAAAACTACTCTGAAAATGTCCCCCAATACTATGTACTTTTATCATAGAAAATCTTTCTGCTTTTCATTGTGATTTAAGAAGCTTTAGGCATTCTCTGACCCTTCTCAGTGGGAGGTGAAGGTTATCAGAATGTAACAGAGAACTGTCATTAAGTTGCACGTCTCTTTAATAGAGCAGCATTTGTTGACACAGCGTGTTCAGGTAAAGCCTGAGTGAGAAAAATTCTGAGCTGCTCCCAGTTCTGCAGTATTCATTTACAATTTGGAATCTAAAAGTGTATATTGCTGAAAACATGGTGCAAAATATAATACCAATGGAAAGGTTGCTATTGATTTTTATGGTTCAAGCTATGTTTGACTTAGGAGTCTGAGTTATGTTCAGTATGGAGAAATAGAAGAAAAAAGACAGAAAGAGAAAACAAATAAGAAATGTATTGTAAAAGTTTATTTAGTACTGGAACTCCAGGCATATTATAAATTGAGTTACCCCTCTTCTATCTTAAGTTTTCCATAATGATCTGTGCTTTACAAGCACTAGGTGGGCTTAGAATTTGCTTTTTTATTCTCTCAAATTCTTTAGCTGCAATACCTTCTGAGTCTTTGAGCTTTACATGCACTATGCAAAATGTCATGTTTGTATTAAAACCAGGATGCAGCTCTCCAAATTTTGCAATGTTCCAGCCATTCTACTGACTCAATGACTGCCAGAAACTCTGGATTTCTTGCCAGCTCAGTGGTGGAATCTAATTCTTTGGTCTTTTTCAGTTTGTTTGTTTTTTGATGCGGCTCATTTTCTCCTGAGCTTGGGACAAGCTAAAGTTCACATCAAAATGAAAAAAAAAAAAGTAAAAAGATGGAGACAAAACTTCCCTGAGGGAGTAGGGAACCAAAGAGAAAACATTTTACAGTGACCAACTAGGAACAAGGAGAAGTTGTAGCAAGTGGATTGAAGCAAAGGGTGAAGCACTTTCACTGTGGAATGCTTAGACTTTTCACTTTATGAGGCTCCTTATGTTGGGAGAGAGGGTTTTAATCCTTTCCTTTGCTCATTTCACTCAACCCATTCTTGAAACTCAGCAGTCCATGAGCATGCAGTTTCTGAAGTTCAAATCACATGATAACACTCATTTTCTGCAATGGTGAAATGAACCTAGTTATGATTGATGGCATTTTATAAGGAATCACATCCTCCCACCAACAACTTTTGTAATCACAGTTTGAAATTCCACTCTATATTCTATATATTTGCTATTTTCTCCAGATATAGCAGGTATTTTAGACAAGCTGTGTGTCTATTGTAATAGTAAAGTCATTTAAATTGTGCTGAGTAAAAGGCTGCCATATGATTTGAAATGGTGTCATTCTAAGTAGAAATGTCTATGCAAAGTGGGTTTTTTTCTGTGATTTCTTTACTGAAGATGATGATGATAAGGTTGATATTTTTGCTTTTTTTGGTTAATATGGTTTAGGTGCCACAGCTCAAAAGACAAGCAGCAAATAGTTGTGCTTCTGCACACTTCCACTGCATTGGAGTTTGCTTGAAATTAAGTAAAGCATAGATCCCATTGGGTGTGGACATAGTATTTAATTTCACTGAAATAACTAGTTGTACATTTGATTTCAAAAGGCATCCTTTGAAAGTACATGCTTATTAGTATTTTGTACTTCAATGACTGATGCAGGAGAAATCTTCTGTTCTAGACCTCAGGATATCATAGTTTCAAGATAAGCAAGGCACCTTATTTTTAACAATTGACTTATTCAGGGAGTTTGACTGTACTGCGGGTGAATGATCCACAAGCCCAAACTAATGACAGCAAATGTTACTGACCTAATAGATCGAAAAATCAAAATTATATTAAAGATAGCATAGTTAATGCTTCATGTCAGTATGAATAATAATATATATATTGGTATGGGATACTGGCAAAAGTTTATTTTCTATAAATACTTCTCTGAAAAAAACTTAGCAAACCACTTATACAAAAATTTGTGGATAGAGCTGGGAGTATTACCTAAAAAAAAATCAGATTTGTAGTCAACTGAAAGATCACGTTTCATTTGAAGAATGTTTCTCCCAATTCCAGTTGTTCTTTTGCTGCAAAACAGTTAATGTATTTCAACCTACAGCAGAGTTTGTGACTTCTTAAAGTGCCAGTCACACAAATATCTGAGACTTCATTTCAGATCGCATCTGGATAAGTACATAATGGGAAAATTTCACTAGGTAAAGTATTTAGAAAAAGAGTTTAAAATGGACAATGATCTTTTGACAATGTAAAGTTTAAGATTAGTAGCTTTTTCCTTAGGCTTTGTAAAAATGGGGTCATCTTCACTTAGTGCAAATATCTGACCACCTATAATAACTAAAGGCTATAGAGCAGAAGTCCCAAATGTGTGTATATACAACTCATCCAAAATGTTCACTTCAAAGTCCTAATTTGAACAGGTTCATTGGACCTGGGGAAAAATTATTTTTTTACAATCAAAATCTCACTCATCTTCCATTGTATACTGCTAGTAGCTGACATAGATGTGCAGAAAGATTGGTTAGGGGAAAAAAATAAGACTGTAATTGAAATTATGCTAAAGAAGTATCACAACACTGCTGTACCCCGTTCTTGGGTTCCTTCTGAAGACTCACTTATTTGCAGACAGGTTCTTATTTTCACAGATTCTGTTGCTGGCAGAAACAAACACCTGATTAATGCATGGACTTTGTGTTAACAAGTTCTTATTGGAAACATTAGTAATGAATTTATTCATAAAAATATTAAGGGATGAAGTTACTTTGGACTGAAAAGATAGCAGTTTTCCCTGTAAGCCAATAAAGGGGCTGTTTTACCTGACAGTGAATGCCACGTAAAACAGAGAAAATTAAGTACCACATGCTATTTGCTACTAGAGTAGTTCAACTGCATTTTTCTCTCAATCATTTTCTTTTTTCATGAGAAAAAATTTCTCCCTCTGGGAAAATTATTGATTTCAGTTTTGCAAACAAAAGAACCTTATGCATATTGTATTGTTATTATGGTTTTAAGGGTCTACATAAGGCACTTTATTAATGGTATTAAAATAAAAGTTCAGTCTCAGCTTCTGACAGTAAAGTGGTTAATTCTCATTGAATTCTACATTTATAGTACTTCTTCACCTTAAATTTAACATGGAAATATTAAATCTTTTTTCTTTAGAACTCGAGAATAATGGTTTTATGCATGACTTAACTTCACAGCTCAGTGGAAAAACAAAACACGAGTGCCAAACCCAAAAGTTACTGGCTCTGAGCCTCATCAAATCCTGCCTGATGCTCTCTTCTAAACACAGAGGTAATCCTAGGAAACTGATGATCACTCCTTCCCTGAACTCTACTGAACAGGGCACTTTGTATCCCAGATGATACTACAGGCAATATTAAAACATTTGACATTAAATTTTTGTACAGCAGTAGCTCTTTTAAAGGACGCTGGCTAGTAGTCCATATGGAAAACTAGCACAGAAGAGATTTGGCAACCTTTTATTATACTGGGGCTCTGTGGAAATGTGCCTCATGAGAGCTGAATTCTGATCCTCTCAGAAACAAATAAGCTACTAAACAAATTGTTATCATCAGTTGATCCCAAGTATCTGAAGATGATGTTTCATAAAATTGATTTTAACTGAGACATGCACACTTGATTCTGTTCTGTGTTTGGTATACTTTCTGTCTTTAACATGGAAAAATAGATGGTTTGAAGTCTGCATTATCTGTTTTCTGCAATCTGCCATGTTGCACGCATTGTTAACTTCAAAACCTCACTATACACTATATATTATCTTGTTGACATATTCAGTAAAGTTATTTAAAAAAATACATCAATCTTGCTGTATTTATATGAGCAAGTTAATTAAAATAAGGATGTGGGTATCCGAAAGGGACAAAAAAGTATCAATCTTCTGTACTTGCATTCCTGGTAATATTTTCAGTTGTTCTACTGTCTGTTCACCCTCTATTCAGTTTCTAAAAGACAAATATCATCTTTTGTCTCTCAAAGAGTTAAATAATTTGTTACCTCAATTTCTCAGATTTAGTCTTAATCTTTATAAGATTATCTCTTTCTGATATACATATAGGAAAGCACTGTAAAACGAGAACAGACTGTATTCCAGTGTTTACAATTATTAGGTACACTTAAGCAGCTACACACGGCTATAACAACTATATATATGTGGAATCTGTGACTCATTATATGCACAGTCATTTGATAAATGCATTTGACATTCATCCTTGATAATCTTGAACCTGTCTTTTAAGTATTATTATCTATTTAATCTGTTTCCTTGACATGAAATGTGATTTTTTTTTTCCATTCTCCCTTCAAAATTGTTCTTGAATTTTCAGAATGCACAACATTCAGACATAAGCCTTAATAAATTTTTGTATAAAATAAATCTTATACATAAGATATATGTTAATATATGCACTATATATAAAGAGACGCTTTAGTTACTTAGAAATGAAAATGATGCCTCTTCTACTTACATATATTTTTGCTTTGCCAGAAAGTGAGGTATTGAATGTTACAAGTTGTGTCTCTTCAAAGCTTAGAAATGTAATACTGCTGAGTGTCACAATTCCTCAAAAAATTATCTTACTCTCTGTCTTAAACCCTGAATATCATGTAAAACTACTGACGGCTCTGTACCATACATCCACATCAAGTCCTGCTGCCTTTCCCCCTTAATAGGTTTTCGCTGCATTTGATGCTTCTACTGAACCATATTAGACCCCGGTAACTAAACCTTCTTGCCTTACTACAAGAAGGTGGACAATAGAGCTAATGTAGATGAGAAACACCATCATTTATGTATTTCTGACAATAATGACATAATAATTTTCAATTGAAAACATTGTTTTCTGTCAAAAAAAAATTGGCAAACACCGACTTCATCAGATAATCTTTTAATATCCCAATTTTTTTTATTGTAGTACAGATAAAACTTTATATTTCTTTTTGATACTTTTAAGCCCACTTACCTGGAGCTGTTCAGACACACAAGTGTGTATAAATTTCTGGGCTTGCTTATAGAGGATTTAGCTACAAGGATCTCCCAAAACAAACACATGGAGGAGCATTTTTCTCTATTGTTCAGTCAAAATTTTTCAGTATTTCACTTTAAAAAGAGTTCTTCCATCTAAGAAGAGTACCATATGGAGAAACAGCATTCCACCATTAAAGTATGAAACAAACATTTTAATGCTGGTTGAAGTGCTACTGTCAGTGAAGGTTGAAAAAATCACTAAAATACTTCCATTACATAGAGAGAGGCTTGATGAATTTTTTAACAATAATTTACGTTTCTAAAACAAATTAGTACATTTTAAGGTGAAGTCCTGACCCCACTGATTTCAACTATAAATCACAATATTTACAGGAATAATACATCAGAAGGATTATTTAAAACATGCAGTATAACATGTCATACCATGTACCCCCAAATGAAATACATCAATTAAGGAGTAGCGTATCTGTCTCTCAAAAAACTAGGGGAGCTGTGAAATAGACTGCAGAAAACGAGGGGTGAGATAAATATGTACTGAGTAACATTGTCCAATATAAAGCCATACAAGATAAGGGCATTTAAAGCCACAAACATGCCACTGAGCATAGCAAGAATGTTCTTTTACACGAAGACACATACATTTTCTGCTTATAACTCCATATTATGGCTAACATGTGACTGCAAAAATGCATGTATGAATATTCAGAGTTTATAGTATAGTTACGCTTTGGTGGGGACGTGTTATACAGAATAAGAAGAACCTGGACATTGCGCACTGGGTCTGTTATTTACCTTCTCTGTATAGAAAGGATTCGATTGAAGAACAAAAGTCATGTTGATAGCACTATCCTGTTTTTCTAACCGTAGAATGCCTCAAAGTGTTAAGACAGTATAGAAACTATTATGCAAACATCCAGCTCAGATGCCCATGTATGTTTACAACTTCAGCATGCTGTGTGCAAAAGCAAGAAGTCTAGCGTTGAGCTGAACACAACCATTCTTGAAAAGCACAACTGCCAGAAAGATCCTGTATTTCTTGAGAGAAATCAGTATATTCACTTCTATAAACCTTGAACAGGTGACCACACACATAAATAAAATTCTTTCTGATGAGGATTGAAGTAATGTGTCTAAAGATGGAATACTGTAATTTTCCTACTTTGAAAATACCTGTTTGTGATGAAGAAAAGGCAGATTTTGTTATGTGAAGATGAAATATAGTAATAATGATGTAAATGCAGACATACTCCTCTTTAATGACATTTTATGGACATGAAAAAAGACACACACATATACTATATACATATATATTTGTGATATAATTTTAAAATTCCCTGAAAATTATCAGACTCTTCAGATGAGATCCACTTCCAGCACATGTGCAATATTACAAAATATTTAAATCTTCATAAATGATTGCAATGCCTTTCAGTTAATAGAAACAATAAAATGTGATAAAATTAGTATTTACAGAAATAATGCACAGTATTAGCTCAAAGACTTAGCTGTGGTAGAAAGAGAGAAAGAGAAAAAAGAAAGAAAAGAAAAAAGGAAGGAAGGAAGGAAAATTGAAAAATAAGAAAGAAGGAAGGGAGGGAACAGGAGTTGTCTAACTTACATCTGCACGCAAAGTGCATTCTGTAAAGTGAAGGAAACTGGATCCTATGTACCCAGTGTATAATTCTGACCTCACATAACTCCACAAACAGGTTTAAGTATTTAAAGGTGAGGAACCAATACATAATTCATTGGTCCCTGACTTATGATGCAAATGTTAAGAATTTTTTAAGAAGAATTGAGAGTTGGTATGAAGTCCAGTTCTGCATTATCTGCTAAAGTGAATATTAATCAAGCAGGGCAGTAGAATGTCGTTGTGAGGACTGCAGAAACAAGGCAAGCACATTATTAATTTTCACGAAAATACTACTCCTAGCTGGCAAAAAGCACGTGTGAGTTATCAAACATATATGACTTAGAAAAATAAAGAAATGGAAACCTGAGAAAGGGGTGATATTCCAAATTATTATAGTTGGTTTAATAGTATTCAGTTGAGTAGGCAATTAAAGAATTAGTTCATAAATGTATTGAAGTTTTTCATATTTAAGGCCCCAGGGAGTATATATTCTATTTCCCATTCACAAGAAATGAGTTTAGGCAGCTTTTTACTTACATCTGCACTGGGGGTTAGTTTTGAAGTCAGTGTTTGCTTTTCTAATTGGTGATGTTGTTCATTGGAACTCTGTGCATGCACCGATTTACTTTGTCATCTGTGAATAATTTGAGGGATAGTCTATTTTATGTGCAACACTTGCCTTCTTGAGAAATATATAGTTAACTATATATCCATACCTTTCTGCTTTTGTTTTGGCTTTCCATTTTATAATTTAACTTTACAAAAATGGAGGAAATTTGAAGTAGAGCAAATTTAAATTTTTTTCTGCTACAATTACAGCAAGGGTAAGGCTGTGTCTTTTTAGCAGAAGACAAAAATTAAGAATACTAAGTTAAGAAAGAAATTATCTTAAAGAATTTTGCTATCAATTTTAAGTTAAATTAATTCTTTTTCAACATTTAGTTATAATAGCGATGCTGGGAAGTTGAGCTAGGAATATCGAGTAAATTCAGGTTTGTGGTTATAGGACCTTTGTGTCCCTGGGTTCACTTTTACAGATTATTACTAGTAGCTGCACAAAGAGAAGGAAAAAAAATGTTTTTTCTTCCTTACTCACGTATATCAGATTTCTTTTTGTAGTGATCAAAGAGGAACACAGCTACTTCACAAAGATCTCCCTCAAAAAAAACGGTGTCCAGAACAGAAAGAAAATACGTGGAGTCATGGCAGAAGTAGATCTGGATCATGTTATGAGGGAGGCAGCAAATTACAGATGCTCTGCAGCATTATATAGGACCTTTAGTTCATCCAGGGCCCTACTAAGGTACCTTCATTGAGATTCATGCTCTTGGAGGTATTCTGTCAAAAGGCACAATCCATGCCTTTAAAAGCTGGGAAGGATCTGAGTTCTATTTCATTTTGTGGGCCTTTAGTTACCATTTCTGGAGGGCCAGGTACACTGCTATTTTCAAGAAGGAGTGTGAAACAAGGCAAGTTTGAAAGGTGACATTTTCAATCACTCTCCTCACTCTCCTTTTATAAATGCAAATTTTATTAAGGTCCTTGAAGGCAAATTTCCAAACTATGACACATACGATCATTGTGTCAGCCTCAGATCAGACACTCCTATTTTCAGTTTAGATGCCTATTACATTCCTCCATCATTCCTCAACTAATAAATTGTTTTCTTAATGTCTGAAACTAAGCAGTTTGTACTATTGCTTATTTGTCACAAGATAAGGAAAAAATCTACAAAATAATTTTACCCGCAAACTGTGATGACTACTCAACAAAGCTAAGCTACAGAAATGCTGGCAGTACAGTGAACCATTTGTCATGAAGTAATGATCTTCTACTGTGTTATCAATTCAATTTATATCCAGACTATGAAAAATCCAGAGGCACCAATGTCACAATTTCCATTGCTTTTGCCTCATTTCTTCTATGACACATCAACCTTCCATAGCATGATTGGTTTAGAGGACAGATTGCTGTTTTATGCCTCATATGATTATGTCATAAGTGTTTACATTTAAGATGGAAATAAGAAAAACAAAGCTCTTTCTGATTGCCTGCATTTTTTGGCTGCTCTAGTAGTAATTTACTCTGTATCTGTCCACTGCACTATTTGTTTCTCAGTATTTTTACACGTTCAGACACACACATAAATGTGACAATCACACTGTATTTATACATTT